TGTACTTCTTTTCCTCTCTCTTGGACCGTCCGCTCCTTCTGAAGGAGAAACGCCTTCCTTCGTTTGGCTGCTGTACTGAGTTTGCTGGGGGCCACAGAGCTCCAAAACACACACCTCCTCCCACCCCTGTGTCAAGATTGCTGCTTTATTGGCAATTCTGCTGTGCTGATGCTGGGGAGAAGGCTCAGGTGGGAGGGAAGGAAGGTGGCACAGGTGCCTGCAATTTTATTCAAGCAGCCCACTCTTCCACATATTGTTAAAACAATACACACTTGGACTCTCCTTGTAATGAAATATACTGCAGGAATAATTGACTGAACCCAAGCTGAATTGGACAATCTTGATAGAAAAACAGAGAAACTAATGACTATACATTCACAGATAATACATTCCCAGAAATAGAGATGGTAGAATTAAATAAAACAAACTGGAGAAGAGTAAGAACAAAGTCTGAATGATTCCATCAGGAAAAGAGGCTCTATTTATGGAAGTTTATAACGAAAGGCTTCTGAAGACAACAAAACTTAAATCTGACTACAAAAAAGAAGTAATTCAAAGTCAGATTATCACCTGGAGAAGCAAGATACTCCATGGTCAGTGAGTCCATGATACTGAAGAAAAAGCAGATCAAATCTAACGTTGTTGGGATTGAAATCTGGAACACTTAAAAAGAAGGGAACAATCATGGCAACTGAAGAACAAATCCTGCAAATCAATATCATCAAGACTAAAACTGAACATATTTCCAAGAGTGCCAAATGCCAATTATGTAAAATTAAGGATGAAATTGTAGATAATCTCATTAGTGACTATAGTAAAATACTACAAACAGAATATAAATAAAGCTTTGATGGGGTTGCAAAAATTGTCCATCAGAATTTATGTAGAAAAATTGGGTCTACTGTTTGCAAAAACCATTCGAACCATATCCTGAAAAAGGATTGCAAAATGAGATTAATTTTCTGTGGGATTTCAAAATTCAAACTGATAGGCTTTCAGAACATAATACTCCAGGCATTACTGTTATCAGAAAGAAGATATGGTTCACTGACAGTGACAAATCATTTCCATATTGTTGACAAGAAAACTATCTGGACATGGTTTTATCTTTACATTTCAATGCACCAGGGATTAATAACATTGTCCCTCAGCTCCAAACCATTGAAATAAATAAACAAACACATATACACCCATACAGTGATTAAAAGATTGTGAAACTTTTTGAATTTTCAATATTTCTGCATAAATATGACTCAAAATGTAACTGCTTTCCTCAATAAGTCAATGAAAAGTATAGTGTTTTTGACTCATTTGTTTAATTGGGTTCTCTTTTTCTAGTTTTAGGATTTGTGTGAAGAGCAGATCACTTTTAGGCCATATTTATGCAGAAATATTGAAAGTTCAAATGGGTTCACAACCTTTTAAGCACCTCTCTCTCTATATATATATGTGTATGTGTGTATGTGTGTGTATATACACACACACACACACACACACAGAGAGAGAGAGAGAGAGAGAGAGAGAGAGAGAGAGAGAGAGAACAGACATATACATAGACACACACACCACCTAACATATATGTCATTTTTATTTTGATTTCTTCTGATATATCCAAAGCAAATCATACAAACTGAGGTCTAGCCAATGCCAACAGAAGGAGCATTCAGGGACTCTGGGTCCAGGACCAGGCCTATAATAAACCCAAGTCTCAGGCTGCAGATGCCACTGGGTGCTTCCCTCCCCTGCTTAGTACCACAGTCTGAGCAGCAAAGGCTCCCAGACACTGAATGCAAGAAAAATGACCCCATGACAGTTTTTGTAAAATCAGCTTTTGAAGTAGAATTACTGCAGCTGGACTCCAAAAGACTAGAGGGCAGCAAAGATACTAAAAACCCCAACACTTTGCTGCTATCTCCTGGCCCTCTGGATTGTCACAGCCCAGATCTTCTAGCCCTTTCCTCTAATCCACTGTTTCTCAACCTTGGCAACTTTAAGATAGGTGGACTTCAGCTCCCAGAATTCCCCAGCCAGCAAGTTGCTCTGGTTGAGAAACACCGTTCAAATCTATGACTAAGGAAATGCTTTCCAAGGTTAGAGAAATAATACTCTTAATATGAATCTTTAGGCTTTGGTTAATATTTTTCTGCATTGATAATCCTGTCTCCTGGCAAGGCCCTATTGTCCCCAGACAGTTGTAGTACCCATCAGGCTTTCTATTCCACCTGACTTTTTCTAAAGATTCTTTTAATAAAAGAAATTCTAAAGAGGAAGCTGCTGTGCTGTCAAACAAAGCAGTAACTTCTATCCCCATATTTATTTACAGGCATGCTTTGGGGCTCCACAAAGCTCTTAGGGGAATGACAAAGAGTGTCCTGGAGGCTTGACCATCTTCTAGTAAATAGGGATTTTGGCACTTCTTGTGCCCAGCAGGACAACCAACTTTGGAATAAGCAAGTCATCCACCTCACCTGCTTTGTGAGTATATGCACTCAATATTCTGAAAAGGTGGCCTGGTACCCTGCCATTCTGCTGCCTGGCTTAAAATCAACTGGAGATTAGTTAATAAATCATTTTATATGTAGTTTATATGTTGGTTTGGGAGGGTGTTTTCCAAGGCCACTGGCTTGAAACCAAATTGATAATCAATTTTGTCTGGATTGGTTTTGTCATTGTTTGTTACCTGAGGCAGGAAAATTTATGGTTCAGGGGAGCTTGAATTTTTCATACTTTTTTTTTTTTTTAAGAAAACAAATGAATCTCCCTTATTTTTTATTCACCCTGTTAGGGTGACAATCCTGTCACCCTCTTTATTGCTGCCAGATCTGGTACATGGACTCCCTATTCGGGCTTCTGAAATATGCTTGAGTGTTCAGCTATCAATTTCAGAATAGTCAGACACACTATGCCCTGATCACATTTGTCAGGAGCTGAGAGAAGTGCTCACTTCCACAAGCAATAGTAACAGACCAAGTTTGTATGGTTACTTAAACTTCTTCTGAAATTCCGCTCAAGCAATTAACCTCTTAATCTTCTCCCCAGTGTGACATTTTCTGATAGTTTCATTTTTCTAATAGCTGCAACTTTGGCATTAAGTGCTTTAACGAACTTATTCATTTAATTTGTACCTCTGTTATAGTATCTTCCTCTAATTTGGTAACCCAAAGAGCCGCTATAAGGAAAAGGAAGAAACAATATTTGAAAAGTCATTTTTAAAAATCAGCGCTGTGGAAGATTAGTTGGCATGAAGGGAATCCACAAATGTAAACTTTGCTACTGACAGATTCAACCATACTAGCCAGATGAATCATGGTCCAAAGCAATTCCCAATGGTGAAGATTTATCCTTAGAACAAAAGCTTTTACAGATACCAAATTGCAAAAAGTGTGTGTGTGGGGGGGGGAACTATCTAAGAATGTAAATAATAGTTATAACAATTACACAAATGGGATTGAAGGTCATGAAATGAATGAAAATTTGGAAGAGTAACATCAAGTTTTAACAAATTCTGGACAGATAATGATGATAAAAGACATGAAAACATTGAGGGGAAAAAATGTTGAACATCAGTTCTCTGGCAGACAGATGGAACTGAAAGTAAAAAAAAAAAAAAATTGAACATATGAAAAACTCAAACTATAGGGAAAGGCTTCCACCATTGAAAAAGATGAGCAGAAAGCAACTGTACAAGTTCTGAAAGATGCAAATTTGGTCATAGAAAATGTTGAAACAAATATATTGAGTGAAACTAATCAACTAATTTTTGGCACACCACCAGCAATAATATCAGGGTTAGGATAGAGTGCTATAAAACAAAAGCAAAAAAATCAATCACCAAAATGAAAAGAATCACTTGGAAAGAAAGATCAATAAAGTATGAGTTGATATCAGCAATGCGAAGAATTTGAAGGAAAGAAAAATTTTTAAAAATAAGGTCAAGAAAAGTTTATAGAAAAGATATAATTTTGGCCCTAAGACAATTCAAGAAGTCTCAGAAGAATTAAAACAATGAGTCAAGGCTATTTCAAAGAGAATGGAACAATGTGAAGATAGAAAAAAATCAATTTCAACAAAATCAGCAGTTTTGAATAAGCTAGCATTTGTTTTATAAAGCACTGCTGGGAAATATAAGAAACATAGATGCTTGCCCTGATAAAGATGAAAAATTAAGATTTTGGAGTGACATCTGAGATAACCCAAAGGAACATAATAAAATGCAACATGAATAAAAGAGATTAAGAAGAACTTTGGCTCAGTCAAAATGGATGAAATAGTCCTAACACAGAAATGATTAAAAAGTGAGCAGAGCAGGTTAGAAACTAGAGTGCACTAGGGAAAGGTGAGGTACATGGATTTTGGCTTAAATGTCTGACAACTTCCCATGAAAGACTGGCTACTCGATTTAATGAACTATTACACATTTGAAAAGTTGAAAAAGGGTTGACAACTGGTAGAGAAATCTGAATAATAAAAGACAGAGACAAACAACTACAGGCCAAATGCTTGCTTGCCAATGGTGTTCAAGCTGCTAACTGGTGAATTAGCAACTGTGATTCTGAGATTAAAAATTCATTGTATGCACCTGAACAAAAAAGTAACTACTGAAATTCATAAAGAACAAAAGGTTATTTGCTGATCGATTGTAATGGTCTGTGGGAATATTTTTGAGACACAGGAGAAAGAACCACAGCCAAGGCGACGGTCAGATAAGAGAAGTCTCAGCCCACAGAAGGAATGGGACATGGGAAGCCTCTCAAAAGGGACCATGTCTAGTTTGCTGGAAAGTGAAGGCAAGGGAGGAGAGAGGTGCTTTCAGACTTGCAAGATTCTGTTACTGTAACCCTAAGCAAAGGTAGTGTTAGTACTCATGGTTTTGGTTTCTTGTCCAAACAACCTTGAAGGGCTGACATTGATAAAATGATATAAAAAAATTCCAAGTGAAGAAAAGACAATTTACAAATGGCTTGGATTGATTCTCTTCTACATAGGAAGGTGTTTGCCTTTCTTCCACATAGCTGGATATAGAAATGTTTGGAAATATTTAGCATTAGTAGAATATCAAGAATTTTGTAAAATAAGCCATGAAAAAAAGAAAAACAACGTGATGGTAAAGGGTGAGGAAATTAGGAATGTAAACACTAGAAAATGAATTTTTCAAGAGGATTCATTGTCTCCATTGCTTTTAACTTCTCAATGATAACTCACTTATAACCTGAATAAAACAAAACTTGGATATGAAGCATTGAAACAAAGTGGAAAAATATCCCACCTGTTATACATGGATAATTTGAAGCTATATGGATTTTTTTTTTCAAAAACTGAAATGGAATTCTTACTGCCAGGGTATGTATGGATGGCATCAAAATAAAATTTGGATTTGGGAAATGTATGATGCTCAGCATAAAGAACGAAAAACTTGAAAAAAATGAAAGTGCACAATTGGAAAATGGGATTCTCATATACTCTTTGCCCAGAGAGGAAAAGTGTAAACTGGGTGCAGCTTGAATTGCACAATTTAGATTTAAAAACAAAAACTGAGAACTGAGAACAGTGCATCATATATTGAATCCACAAAGTGATGCTGATCAACTATACTTAGCATGAAAAATTAGAGGCTTGGTTTAATGCAGGTGAAGCAGACAGTTGAAGAAGAAAAACAGGATTAAATGATGACATCAAGGCAAGCAGAGGAAAAAAATGCTCATCGCAGTTTGCAAAGAAAACATCCTGAAAGTGCTAGAAGCAAAAAATGACTATAAAAGTGTATTGCTGGGAAACTGCTCAGAAAATTAGAGAAGCAAACCATTACATGGCCAATACAGAAAAGAAACTGCAAATAAAGCAGGAAAGACCAGGAACTGGCAATGATTACAAGCTGGCACCAAGAAGAAGAAAACAGAAGGATTAATTTTCTCAGCTCAAGAGCAACCATTACAAACAAATTTAATGAAACAAAGGATTTAACATGTATCAAGCAGTAGCAAATGCAGACTTTGTAAAGAAAAAAATGAAACCATGGACCTCATAATTAGTAGATGAAAAAAAAAAAAAAAATTACTCAGACTAACTATAAACAGTGTCAGGAAAGAGTAGCCACTATGATCCATTGGCGTCTGTGCAGAAATTATACTTTCTGAATTTCCTGAATGTTGTGTAGTCACAAAATGAGTTGTTGAAAATGTTAACATTTTATGAGATGTTCACATTCAAAGTGATCACCATCTAGAACACAGCACACCAGATACATGAGTATTTTCTTAAAAAAAAAAAAGAAGAATAATTTTTATAGATGCAGCAATATCTGGGGTCAGCAGACTTGAGGAAAAATAATTTGAAAAAATTACAAAATATAGAGGTCTAATGATCACAGTGGGTGAATTATGGAAAAGTTTGTGCAAAGGCCACCTGATAGTTATTGGCACTTTAGGCAAAAGAACCAACAGATTTTTAAAAAATACAGGAACTAAGTATTTTGGCTATATCAACTGTGGATTTACAAAAACACCTTGTTGGGTACATATTACATCTCAAAACATTAGTTGGACCATTCCTAGGTTCCCAACTAGAACCTGAATTTCCAAAGACCAGTCAATGATGTGATTTTTTTGTTTGTTTGTTCTTTGTACTGAGTTATTCTTTGATGAATAGCAACATAATAAGAACAACAAATGTTTGCATGGCCTTATCTTTAAAGTCTAGGCAAAATAAAATAAATTCAGTGGATTTATTTCACAATCTTTGCTCTGTTCTATTCACTTGCTGTGAGGTGTCTACAAAAGATGAGAGTCATATGTGCCATGCTACTCCCTATGACACTCTATGGAAGTGAAAGTTGGACTTTAAAGAAGCAGGTTAGGAAGGGTATTGATGCTTTTGAACTTTGGTGTTGGAGAAGACTCCTGAGAATACTGTGGACAGTCAAGAAAACAAACCAATGGATCATTGAACAAACCAACCCAGAGTTCTCACTAGAGGCACAACTGACCAGGCTCAAATTATCCTACTTCAGACACATTATGTGAAGTCCTAGCTCTCTGGAGAAGTCTATAATGCTGGGAAAGGTGGAAGAAAAGGGAAGAGGACAACCAGCAGCAAGGTGGATGGACTCAGTTACAGTGGTGATGAGTGCACCGTAGGAAGACATGAAAGAACAGGTTAGTGATATATTGTCATGGAGAAAATCTATCTAGTTGGTCACTATGAGTGAAAAATGGTTTCTTGGCACATAATCAATCAAAATCACTTGTGTTTTTTAAATGACCACTAAGAAGTAGTGAGCCTAGGAGTGGATGTTACTCCTATTTTAAGATTGCCACCAGAATTTCTTTTCATGTAGTTCCACTACACTGTTACTGTACTTGGACTGTTTTACTCATAGAATTTCATCAAGAGTAATTTAGACCTCATTAGGGTTGCAATTTTAAATATACTTATTAGGAAATATATCTTACTGAACACAGCGGGAGATAGTTAAATTATATAGATGAATACAACAGTACAACAGTTCTACATGTGCTGGTCCCTCCTTACCTGACAAGATATATTCCTCAGTAAACTTGGCTCTAAGATCTGTAATAGAAAACAAAATGGTGGGGGGAGTGTTAAGAAGAAATTACACTCCTTTCCTACTGCTGGAGTGATAGTAAAATTTGGGGTGGAAGGCGAGAAAACATCAGAGAATGAAAGGGAGTATCTTCTGAAACCTGGAAGAGGAGAACCCCAAAATACCACACTTTCTTGCAGTGCCTATTTGCATAAATTAAAGAATATTGAGCAATCACCATTTAAGTACAGAGTCCTGTGCTAAGTAACTTTAAGGCCACAGTGCTATGCACACATTTGGCTTTTTCGCATATAAAAGACAAGATAATTGTCTTAAACTAGGACTGTTTTACGTTGCTTTGAAATGTAATTGTTAAAGTGGCTTCTGTATTTGGGTTAAACACTATTACAGATGAAACTGAAAGAAAGCAGATGGGCTACATTTCACAAAAAACCATAATGCAGTTTGCTTGTTTTGGGTGTAATGTGACATTTGTGAAGTCAGCCAACTGTGACCTGGACTCCTTGATTTATGGTTTAGTGCAGGGTTCCCCAAATTGGTCCATATCACCCCCGAAGGGTCAATGGAACTATGCATAGTACTATTAGTTAAAGTAGTATTTATTAAATTATTTTCATATCATAAATGTTTGGGGGCCGATAATCTGAAACTTCATGAAGAGGTCAATGAACCATAGAGTTTGGGGAATCCCTGGTTTAATACAATGTGTGAACCCAGCCCATTGTGAATTTATTTAACAAACCATGTTAAGCCATGGTTTAGCAAAATACATGAATACAGCCAACAACTTTTCTAATACAAAGCTTTGGTATGATATTCAGCCTTACAGCCAGCGTGCTGCTTTTATACATATATATATCATTTGCTGAAGAATCCCGTGTAGTAAATGCTGCCCAATTGCTATTCAGCCCGGTTTGCTTGCAACCATTCGTTCTACTTGCATCTCAAATACCAGTAGCTCTATAATTCAAAGGGAGGTGTTGAAAGGGGAAAAAAGCTTGAGCAAATAATGCTATTTTCTTTTTCTGATACAGAGCCACTCCAGTTTCCCTCTATGGCTGTCAAATATAGCCACTAAGACTGAATACCTGCGTTTAGCAAAAGAAAAGAGGCAGTTCATTTCAGAGATGCACTTTGTTTGCATTCAGTCTGCCTTTCTTTTGTTAGTCTTTCTGTTAAATTAGTAAATTCTGCTTTAGCTGAGAGAAGAAAGTATCTGCTTTGGGGGATAGAGGGGTAGGGGGAATAAAAGGGAGATATCATTGGGATACATATAAATAAAAGATATATTTATATATTTTCCAAGGTGTTCCCTATACATTTTTAAGGCCCTTCTGCCATTTTGCAGAAAATTAATGGAGGTGAGCATTTTCCTCTGCAGACTAGTGATGCAGTAGCAGGCCTTAAAAGGGCCTCATTACTCAGCCCTACTCATACCTCTCAGGTTTATACCACTTGTCCTTGTGCTGTGTTGAATTGTTCACTCCCTGTTCAGCCCATTTGTGAAAGACTGAGATACATGGGAAAACAACACCCAGAAATTGGACAAGGTGCCAATTTCTTTTGGAATTCTCAGGGGATCCTATAAAAGTGAAGATCCCCATACCTTGCAGAGAGGGTGGCCTCTCTCTTCCTCTCTTCCTTCTTTTTATTTTCTTCTTCTTTGATCTAAAAATAGACCTATTCCTCTACTTGCAAACATAGGCACACAGGCTTTCCCTCTTCTTGCAAAGGATGGTGCACTGCTGTAGCTTCACCTGATAATTCCTGGAAGCTGCTAGAAGCTTCTAGCAGGTGCACTGCTGTAGCTTCACCTCACACCTTCAAGTCTTCTTTAAAGTACTGTAAAAGAAAAAGCGAAAAATGGAGAAAGGAAAGCAGACAGACTAATCCCTTTCACCATCTCATTCAAAGTATGAAAACTGCCCCTTTTTTCCAGAAGGAAAACATTTCCCATCACAGAGCAGAATCTGGCCTAGCATTAATTTGTTCTTCACTTCTTGGAAAGAACAAGGATTCTTGCCTTTCAGGATCAATGTCAGCATTTTTGAGAGCAAGCTGGCAGACACCCATACAGTTTGTTCATGTCTATTGTCTGGTGCATTTAGGTAACTATGACAAATAAAATCAAGAGTGTTGCTACTAATATTTGTAAAGATTTATTGGAGTGAAAGCAAGATAGCAGTATATTCTTGAAAGTTACGTCAGTATGGAATAACGGTGATGGCGCACAATGAGAAGAAGGTGTTGATATCTGCATTTCCTTGTATCCTTCCTTCCTGCTGGTATATTGTTATTGCTGTGTCTTTTTTTTTTTTTCATTTGTAAGCTTGAGGAGAACATCTGTACTATTGAGTACTATTTGTATTTTTTATGTATTTGTAGTAATATTTGCATCTCAATATTTAGTAAAATAATAATAATAATACTTTCCTAATGTGCTTGGTGCTATACAGAGAGTTGACATCCTAGGTTTGCATAATATAAAACTTAAAAACAGTCCCCCCTCCCGATCAGTGGGGTGAGATTTACTATATACTGGTAGCAAACCTTTGCAGCAACACAAAACTAAGATGATGCAAAGCAAAGGCAAAAATGGCTAACAAGTTTTTTAAAAAAGTAACACTTTTGTTGAAATTAGATTCATGCTAGAAACCTAAATTTTGACCCTTGAAAATTATGATATGAAGACATTCCAGGAAGTGAAGGTAAGGAAACAATAAAAGAATAATTCAGCTAGCTTTGGGACTTTGGGGAAAGCAACAGAATACAGTAATGGGGCAGGATAGTCCTTTGGGTCTTGAATTACAGTTCCCATGTGCCTCAGTCAGCATGGTTAATAGCTAGTGATAGAGAGATCATAATCTGAAATCTAAAGGGAAGTGGTGTGGCTGCCTCTTAATTACAGGAAAAGTAGGGATGGTGGAGGATGGATGGTAGCTAAGAAATTTTCAGTGCTGCATGTTTGAGAATGGCAGCTTAGGGGTGGTGTAGTCATTTCTAAAATAAAAAGTGAAAGGAAGTCACTAACACATACAAAATGTGCTTTTAATTCATTTCTTCAGATGGGTATATGTATATATGTATATGTATAGTCTAGGTTCTCTCATCTCATCCATGTATGGTTTCTTCCAGTAGCCCACTTATTGTCAGATTGTCCTGGTTCCCCAACAACTGATGTAGACCTTGTTAATCCAGGTGACATCCAAGCCAGCATGACTCTCTTAGTTTGTGTCACTCTCATATCCAAAGTAGGCAGGTGAAGCATTAGGGGGTCTTTGACTAAGGACCCTTACTGGTACCAGCCAGGATTTGAACCCCAGTCTCCTGCATCAAAGGGCTGTGCTCTATCCACTACACTATCCACCCACTATCCAGTGGAAAGTAAAGACCAAAGTGGTCCCAAGCTGGGAGAGTAGCTCCAACAGATCCCAAGAACAACATCAGTGCTCTCTGTCCAGGAGAGTGCAGTGCTAGGAACACTAAGATACTGTACAGAACCCTCAAAATCCCAGGCCTCTGGTAGAGGACCTGAGATTGAGGAAGACACAGACCACCCATAGGGGTGAGCGGGGATCTATATTTACATATATGCATACAGGCACACACACACACACACACATGTAAGGAATGGAGAACCAAAGTAATGGAGGTCAAAGTTTTATAGTGATTCTGCCATTCAAGTCAGAGAAGAAGGGTGATAACCCAGATGAGAGGCACTGCATAGCTCTGCTTGGCAAACTGCTGAGAGCTAAAGAAAGTTACAGATCTTAGGAGTTACCATATTTTTCCGACTATAAGACGATTCTTTTTCTAAAATCCTTACCCTAAAAATTGAAGGGTGTCTTATTCAAGGAAGTCACCCGAGGAGAGAACTGCGTCGTTGCAAAACTGCCCATACTTTGTTTCTGC